AATTTTTATGTGAGTGAATCTAAACTGCTGAGGAAGACCATATGTGATTGTTAAATTATATATATATACACATATACATATATATATTTTTTACTCCGCGCAATGCTTATTCTTCTACATCCATAGATGCTTGAGAAGCTGTGTTTTTGTCATTCATGTAACACATTTTCCTTTGGAAAAAAAGAAAGCGCCTATTTTACTAACCAAAGACTTGGTTTTTACCCTCTTCGTTTTTATTCCCTCCTAGAAAGAAGCCCATTTTGGATGAGATTTGGGTGTTTTTTTTTAGTGTGTTTTTCTTTTCAGAGACCAGAATTCCAAATCAGAGCTATTTAGGGTGATAAGCTGCAATCTTTGAGCTAGCTATTAATAAGACATTTCAAACAAACAAATATTTTGGGTAGAGGTTACAAAGGCGTGAAACATCAGGTTGTCGTGTTTTTTTAGTTTTTTTAAATTTTTTGTTTTTTTATTATTGTAAGATTCTGCTTCTAAAAATAATAAATGGGGGATTACGGGTTTGGAGTGCTAGTGCAAAGCAATACTGGGAATAAATCTGCTTTTCCAGTCCGATTCCACCCGCATCTGCAGCCTCCACACCATCACCAAAATGCCACCCCCAGCCCTGCTGCTTTTATAAATAATAACACAGCTGCCAATGGCAGCAGCGCCGGCTCAGCCTGGCTCTTCCCTGCTCCGGCTGCCCACAACATCCAGGATGAGATCTTGGGGTCAGAAAAAGCCAAAAGTCAGCAACAGGAGCAGCAAGACCCCCTGGAAAAGCAGCAGCTCTCCCCCAGCCCGGGTCAGGAAGCTGGAATACTGCCTGAAACGGAGAAGGCGAAATCGGAAGATAATCAAGGGGACACTTCTTCAGAAAATGGCAATGGGAAGGAGAAGATCAGAATCGAGTCACCCGTGTTGACAGGGTTTGATTATCAAGAAGCTGCGGGGCTCGGTGCTTCCACCCAGCCCCTGACGTCCAGCGCCTCATCTCTGACTGGCTTCAGTAACTGGTCAGCGGCCATCGCGCCCTCCTCCTCTACAATCATCAACGAAGATGCCAGTTTCTTTCACCAGGGAGGGGTCCCCACTGCTTCGGCTAATAACGGTGCTCTGTTGTTTCAGAATTTCCCCCATCATGTCAGCCCTGGCTTCGGAGGCAGCTTCTCCCCGCAGATCGGGCCTCTGTCCCAGCACCACCCTCATCATCCTCACTTCCAGCATCATCACAGCCAGCATCAGCAGCAAAGGAGGTCTCCTGCCAGTCCCCACCCCCCACCTTTCACACATAGAAATGCTGCTTTTAACCAGCTGCCTCACTTGGCGAATAATCTTAACAAGCCCCCCTCTCCATGGAGCAGCTACCAGAGCCCCTCTCCTACACCCTCTTCTTCCTGGAGCCCGGGAGGTGGTGGATATGGTGGCTGGGGAGGTTCCCAAGGCCGCGATCACCGCCGAGGGCTGAACGGAGGAATAACGCCCCTGAACTCCATCTCGCCTTTGAAGAAAAATTTTGCAAGCAATCATATTCAGCTCCAGAAGTACGCTCGCCCCAGCTCTGCCTTTGCTCCTAAGTCCTGGATGGAAGACAGCTTGAACAGGGCTGACAACATTTTTCCTTTTCCGGTAAGATTGTGTTCCACTAACAGATAAACATGAATAAGGAAATGGCCTGGTGTAGTATCCAACTAAGACAGTTTGAATTGTCCGTGTTCCTATCAGAGCTCTTACTAGAATATGAGTTACCAGACGTTATTTTGGTAGGAGAGGAGTGTAACTTGGAACAAAATGTTCAGCTGTTTCTTGGGTAAATGTCTCATTGCAATCTTCCCATAGGTAATTGTATGACTTGGTATAATTAATACCAGGTAGCCAGCTAGTGATGTCGTAATTATTAACTGTAATACCTTTCTAGCCTGACAAGAGAATCAGGGTTGGTTTTTCCCTACTTATTTATGTAAAGTACATAATGTAGGGATACCTTTTGCTGTGGAAACTGCTGAGCATTTTCTACCCATATGCAGTAACTATATAACCAAAAAAAATTCCTTTTTCTCCACTGTAAGGTACCAAGTCACTGAAAACCAACCCTTAAATTGTAGTTTTCTCACGCTTACATTTTATACCTGGAACCTCTCTGAACCATGCGGTGTGAACAGTCTGAACTCATTAATTTCCTTTGAAACCTCTGCAGTTTCTGGCCTGCCTTATATCAGCAAGGACTGCTAGAGAAATGATCTAAGTGTTTTCTTCATGCTCATTTATTTGTGAATACTATGAAACTGTAGATCGCAGAGTGACTCTTTTATGATGCCTTTCACCCATTTGTTTATTTTCCAATGTTAACACTAGGGGTGTAGTTAATTAAACCATGCCTAAAAATAGATCCAGGCCAGGATCACTTGTCTGTCTGCCACCAGTGTATCCTTATTCTGCAAGACTCACATTGTTTGATGTTTCTGAATTAATGAGCAGCCGGTCTAGCTGATAGATATGAGATAAGGGGAATTTCATAGTTAATTGAACATCAGATGCCCCACTGAATTTGTATATTTTGGGG